GCTCCACCGCTCGGGTCCTCAGCACCAGCAGTAGCTCCAACTCCAGGGTCCGTAGCACCAGCAGCAGCTCCACCGGCCGGGTCCTCCGCACCAGCAGCAGCTCCACCGCCCGGGTCCTCAGCACCAGCAGCAGCTCCAACTCCAGGGTCCGCAGCACCAGGAGCGCCACTCCGAAGGCTGCAGCGCCGTGTGTACCACTCTCGGATCTGCTGAAGGGAGGGGAGCTCCTGGGTAGGAGGGGAAGCACTGGTACCCGCTCCAGCAGCACCTCTCCGGAGGCCGCAGTACTGTAGGTACCTCTCCTGCAGCTGCTGCGAGGAGAGGGCTCCTCCAGGTGTGGCACTCGCAGGCTCAGCACCCCCAGACTCAGCACCTCCAGGCTCAGCACCCCCAGGCTCCGCACCTCCAAGGTCTGCACCCCCAGGCTCCGCACCCCCAGGCTCAGTACCCCCAGGCTCAGCACCCCCAGGCTCCGCACCCCCAGACTCAGCACCGCCAGGCTCCTCACTCGCAGGCGCAGCACCCCTAGCAGGACGAGAGTCGACAGCGACCTCGACAGGCTCAACCGGGTCTACCTGGGACACACCTGAGGGAGCGGCACCCTGAGGGGGGAGGGGGTCTACCACAGCAGCACCTGGCGCGAGGAAGAGAGGCGGGGGAGGGAGCGGGGCAGTGCGGTAGGGGAAGAGGCGGTAGTAGGGGACGGACTCGTCAAAAGTGACGTCCTGAGAGGGCAGAACCCGGCGCGAGGTGACGTGGTAAAACTGCCAACCAGGGGCGTCCGGGACAAAGCCAAGGAAGACACAAGGAACAGCGCGACGGGAGAGCTTGTCCGCGGACGTGTCGCGAACAAAAGCTCGGGATCCCCAGACCCGGAAACGCGACGCATCGCCAACCTCTCCCGTCCAACGCAGTGTCGGGGAAGTCTCCGGCAAGGAGACACGGGGCCAGAGGTTGAGCTGATGCGCAGCGTATCGGACCGCAAACGGCCACAGAAAGTGGGGAGCAGCCGCATGGATCAGGGAGGTACGAGCGACCTCCATGACCAAGCCAATGCGGCGCTCAGCAACCCCATTCTGCTGTGGAGAGGCCGGAAGCGTGAACGACTGCTCAATGCCCTCCTGCTGACAGAAGGCCTCCAAGAGGCCAGAGGAAAACTCCCCACCTCTGTCAGAGTGCAAACGCAGGACAGGAAAGTCCGAGCGGAAACGCTCGCTGAGCTGGAGACGAGCTCTGCTGATCCAAGGGATCAAGACATCAGGGACCTCACCCTTGGTGCGCAAGGGGAAGACCGTGGTGTAGCGAGAGTAGTCGTCAACAACAATCAGGAAGTACCTCTCCTGACCCTGTCCACGGACGCGGGCTGGGCCCCACACGTCCAGGTGGAGCGTCTGCAGGGGAGCAGTCGTCGGGGGAAAGGAGGAGGAGTGAGGAGCGGCGCGCTGCCGCCCCTCGACACAGGGAAGACAGGGAGGAGCAGGCGAGGGTGGGAGGGGAGGGAGCACCCTGGGAAGACCAGAGACAAGCTGCCGTTTGTGCATGGCACGAAGGCGCTGCACAGATGGGTGGCCAAGTCGGTGGTGCCAGAGAACGGTGTCGTGCGCGAGAGAGCGACACGAGCAGGGGGCCGACAGCTGACCTGACGCAGACGCGGACGCAGCTACCTGAGGGGACTCAGTGGTCAGTGTGTACAGGTCCGACCCCGGCTGCCGAGTGAAGGTAGCCAGGTGACGGCCCGTCCGAGCACACGTGCAGTGTGTCACACGCTCGTAGGCAGGGGTGAACTGGTGAACACCCGCATCCTGGAGCGCACAACCCGCCACCAAGTTCGTAGAGAACGAGGGGAGGTGGAGACCTGACAGTGTGCCCGACGGGACCGCAGGACAGGGAAGAACAGTGGAGGAGGTCGCAATGACCGGACCCCCAGAGGGGTCAGCGAGGGAGACAGCAACTGGCCGAGCAAGCGGCTCAAGGGCAGTGCGGTCACGAAAGAAACAGCGAGAAGCACCTGAGTCCAGGGTGAAGGTGTGCAGGGCCTCAGTCGACTCAGTACCAGGGGGCGCAGACTCACTAGGACCTAGAGTAGCAGCCTCACCAGCACCTAGGGCAATAGACGTACTAGCACCTAGAGCGGCAGCCTCACTGACAGGACACGGCAGCTGCACCTGTCCACTACCAGAAGCTCCCGAACGATGCACTCCAGAGCGACTACCACTACGGCCACTCCGACAGCCCAAACTAGCGTACCACTCACGCGCACGAAGCAGCTGGGGCGAAGGAGGACACGGCAGCTGCACCTGTCCACTACCAGAAGCTCCCGACCGATGCACTCCAGAGCGACTACCACTACGGTCACTCCGACAGCCCAAACTAGCGTACCACTCACGCGCACGAAGCAGCTGGGGCGAAGGAGGACACGGCTGCTGCACCTGTCCACTACCAGAAGCTCCCGACCGATGCACTCCAGAGCGACTACCACTACGGCCACTCCGACAGCCCAAACTAGCGTACCACTCACGCGCACGAAGCAGCTGGGGCGAAGGAGGACACGGCTGCTGCACCTGTCCACTACCAGAAGCTCCCGACCGATGCACTCCAGAGCGACTACCACTACGGCCACTCCGACAGCCCAAACTAGCGTACCACTCACGCGCACGAAGCAGCTGGGGCGAAGGAGGACACGGCTGCTGCACCTGTCCACTACCAGAAGCTCCCGACCGATGCACTCCAGAGCGACTACCACTACGGCCACTCCGACAGCCCAAACTAGCGTACCACTCACGCGCACGAAGCAGCTGGGGCGAAGGAGGACACGGCTGCTGCACCTGTCCACTACCAGAAGCTCCCGACCGACCCACTTCAGAGCGACTACCACTACGGCCACCCCGACAGCCCCGACTAGCGTACCACTCACGCGCACGAAGCTGCTGGGGCGTGGGGGACTCACGCGCACAGCCCTGGAGCTGCATCTGGCCACGTCAGGAGCAGCAGTAGTAGCAGTAGCGGCAGTAACAGTAGTAACAGCAGGAGCAGTGGCAGTGGGAGTAGAAAAGGCAGTTGCAGCAGTACTGGGCAATGCTCACCAGTGGTCGGCGCGGCAGGCGTAAGACGGTGGCGACAGTGGGGTTGCTACAACTGCAGGGCTGGGCCGGGCCGCAGCAGGGAGCTCCGCGGCAGCTGCGGCAGGGCGAGGCTGGGCCGCGACGGCAGCTGCTCCAGGTGCCAGGGGCGGCTGCTGCAGGTGCGGGCTGCTCCAGGGGCGGCTGCTGCAGGTGCGGGCTGTTCCAGGGGCGGCTGCTGCAGGTGCGTGCTGCTCCAGAGGGGGCTGCTGCAGTGACGGGCGGCTCCAGGGGCGGCTGCTGCAGTGGCGAGCGGCTCCAGGGGCTGCTGCTGCAGTGGCGGGCGGCTCCAGGGGCGGCTGCTGCAGTGGCGGCTGCTCCAGGGGCTGCTGCTGCAGTGGCGGCTGCTCCAGGGGCGAGCGGCGGGCAGGTGGCGACGCCGCGGGCAGGGCGACGCGGCGGGCAGGTGGCGACGCCGCGGGCAGGGCGACGCGGCGGGCAGGTGGCGACGCCGCGAGTAGGGCGACGCCGCTAGCAGGTGGCGACGCCGCGGGTAGGCGACGACGCCGCGGGCAGGCGCCGACGCCGCGGGCAGGGGACGACGCCGCGGGCAGGCGACGACGCCGCGGGCAGGCGACGACGCCGCGGGCAGGCGACGACGCCGCGGGCAGGCGACGACGCCGCGGGCAGGCGGCGAGGCCGCGGGCAGTCGACGACGCCTCGGGCAGGCGACGACGCCGCGGGTAGGCGACGACGCCGCGGGCAGGCGGCGACGCCGCGGGCAGGCGACGACGCCGCGGGCAGGCGACGACGCCGCGGACAGGGGCTACGTCGCGGGCAGGCAACGACGCCGCGGGGAGGCGGCGACGCCACGGGCAGGGCGACGCGGCGGGCGGCGAGAGCCTCCACCACCTCCGGCCGCGGCGGCATAGTCCGGGCCAGGTACATCGGCCGTGCTGAAACTGCAATAGCGAGGAGATGCGAGGCCATCTGGGGGTGGTCGAGCAGGGGGAGCCACGGCAATGGCGCCTGCAACTCGCGAAGCCGCTTCCGTAATCGGGCCCCCTCCCAATCCTCCTCCCCAATAGGCACGCCCACCACAGTGAGACCCTCCTCCTCCCGCTGCATCCCCAAAGGCAATGCCCGCTCCATATCCCCACCTCCACGCTCCCAAAACCTGCACTTGTGCGCCTGCACTTCCAGCCCCACCCACTCCAACCTAATTACTACTACAATCCTCCAGCGCCACCAGCGCAATCTTTCCAGGTGCTGTCGTCGAAGTTATTTCTGGGTCTCCTTTCCGTCAGATTCATGACGACTCTCAGCTGTCCCGCTACCGTCACGAGGCTCGTAGCGTCACAAGCAGCAAACCCGAAGCGGCTTCAAACGCCGCGGCGCGTCACTGTCTGTCGAGTCGCTCCCCCAAATAATTCCTCGCCCGAACCTGTCAAAATTTTCAACCCCGCCACATGTAATCGCCTAAAGAAAAAGAGAGATCCGAAGCACCATAAAGTACCGTCGTTTTCTTCTCGTTTGTTATTTGTTTCTTCTTGGGACGGGGGATTCATTAAGAAAAGCGCTCCAGTAACACTGATTTGGTGCAAAGCCGCTTTTTTTCTAAGCATCATAGTAGGCCGTCCACCTCGAAAAATAATGAAGGCCCCCATGGTACCGCGTACAGCATTTTTCTAAGGCGCAACGTCCGAAAGTGTGGGGTCCGTACGTATTTTCCGAAATGACGTCTCAAAATCGCGAAGTTGACGCTTTTTCCCGTCTCTCGTGCATATTTTCTCTTCAGGGTTCGGGAAAACTACCAAGGCGGCGCCGCCGCAACCAGAGCCTGCAGAAGAGCCTGAGCTCGAACCTCTTGCGACGCTCCCGCCGACTCCGGTTTTCCCGTCCAACCAAGCGATGACTCTGTTTCTGCAGTCGTACGCGCGCATGCTGCAGCACGTCAAGACGGGGACGGTGGTCGGGAAGAGAAAAGTCGGCGTTGACCACAGCCACGACGCGTTGGTTTCCGGCGACTCGCTCGCCGCGGCTGGCGACACTGTGCTGGAGCGAGTGCACCTCGGACTCGGCGCGCTTCTGCACCACCCGAAGCATGTAAGATCTGATGCCGTGCTGTATCTTGCATAGGAAACACAACCTTTCTAAGGTCGTGGCGCTCTTTTGCAAATAAAAGGTGTCTGACTTGCCTTTTTCCTTTGGTTTCTACATCTTGGTTGTGACAGGGCGTGCAGGGAGGGACAGTGTGGGGCCGCAAGGAGGAGGAGGTGGAGCGGTGTCTGGAAGAGCTAGAGAAGGACGTGGAGCACATGAGGGATGCTCACGAGAAAGCACCGCCTGCCACCACTCTGAACCTCGCTACAGCACATTGTTTGGATGCTGCAAAGATGATCAGCAAGCTCTGAGAGGAAGAATTGTGTGGGTTGCGATGTTCCTTGATTTAGTGTTGGATCATCAATCAGGGTTGGTTTGTTCATAAGGGGGGTATGTGTTGATAGTGCATCTTAAAGAGTGCTTGCTCTAGAGAAAAGCCAGTTAAGACTGTTGATGTACCGTATGTATGTATGTGCACTTGTTCCTTAGGGTGTTGCTTATATCATTAGAAAAACTCATGTGAAGAACAAATTCACACCTTTACAACGTTGAAACAAGCTCAGTCTCAGGCTTACAGATGGATAGAGGTTTGCAATGTTCATGAATCGTCTGAAATCAATCTGAAGCGTGCATATGTCCCTACTTTGAGGAATGTTAGTCCTGCTTTGTGGCCATAGGTAATTTATTGTTTGGTGTTTTGGATGCTAGAACTTAGCACATGGAAATATAGAGATATCTATTGGAAAGGTGTTCAATATCCAACTAGTCTGAATGAAGGCCTTTCCCGCCAAGCAATACAACATTCGGCATGGTGAAGAGCAACACGAATTGCGTGCGGAAAGAATCACCTCTGCCACAGTATTTCACAAAGCTGATTTGATTGGCGGAATATGTTTCCCTCGCACAAAATTTGCTGCCGAGCCTCGTTTCGTAAGCTTCGGGTTGCTGGCGAAGCGATCGAGTCGCGCTATCCCAGAAACACCCTCAACAATTTGGAATTTCGTAACAGACCTGCGTCAGCCGGACCGCACCAAGCCTCTGCATGTCATGGCGTGGCATTCAGATTCTGGCTATTCGTTGTGGTCAGCGGGGAGATGCGCGCGTGAGGAAGAATTACATCCGCATTGTCAGGGGCAATGACCGTACACAGGGGCGAAGAGGGGAGCGAAGGGGAGGGGGGAGAGGGGAAGGGACATCCTGTTCTTCCGCCGCTTCCGCCCTGGCTTCCCCTCATAACTTTCCAAGCCTAACAGATGCTTGTGTACCGAACCGCTTTGGCTGAAACCTTTCACGCTACGACACCCCAGCTTCGGTTCCTCGGGCCCGAGCCTCAAAATGATCATGTTATTGGCACCATGACAATGTCCATGATGAACGACTTCAAGCAATTGTGACATTCCCAAGGTGCCATGCTGGTGACTTGCTGATAGCTTGCTGCTGGCTTGCTTTTGGCATCCTCCCTGCTATCAGACTGCAGACCCATCTCCTCGCAGCTGTATCAGGCTGCTTGTATCAGCAGTCGAAGAAACCATAAGTCATGCTGGTACTTCATGAATGGTGGTTTGTGGTGACTGCTTGTTCTTCATACTGCTCCGTTTGAGCTGACAGAGCAACCGGAGGATTGACGGACGGAGTGCCTTCAGTCTCTTTTCTACCCGGATTTTTAGTAGCCTCGTCCTTATCGCAGGACGTGTCTCTTGGTCTCGTCTGCGTTTTATAGTTTCCTCTTCAGATAACGACACCTGCAGCGCATCCAGCCTTGATAACGACGAATAAAAGAAGCCACGAGCGATCGTATTTATTGCGAGCGAGGCGTTTATTTAGCTCAATAGCTGAACGGGATCCATATAATATTGTCGCAATAAGTAAGGTCTACAATAGGTTATGACGAACGTAGATGGCGAGAAGAGTTCTCATTCACTGGTGAGAGCTCGAAGCTCGAATACCTCTCAGGATTCTCAGAGAAGACGAGGAAGAGCCGGTGGGAAAGGAGAGAAAGGAGTCGGACGAGACAGCAGAGACGGGTCTCTGCTTGATGATGCCACTCAAGGGGAATCTGGTGAGAAGATGCCGATAGACTACACTGACAGGCATGTTGCGAGGGTTAATATAGTCAGCATAGGATAACATGGGACGATACGCGTGTCAGGAGAGTTTGGAGCGGACATAGAGAGAACATAATGCGTCACTGTTTAGCGATGTACCACCGTATCCCGTCATAGGAGAATTAGGTTGCCGTCATATCGTTAGTGTTTCTATTGTAGCCTTCCCGCTCAGGTTGTTCTGCTTTAAGAGCATGTAGCTGGTGCTTCTTATTATTGACCTTCAAGTCGTTCATATCGTTGACCTTCATAGGCGCTTTATGTTCCACGGTGCTCCCGAGCTCCTTGTCAGCATGTAACACTCAAAATAATTCCCCCCCTGCTTTTGCGCGTAGAACGAGTGCGAGTGACCATCCGAGTACGGCCGCCTACAGAAGAGGAAGCAGCCAGCAATGGAGAGTTTGCGATGGACATTTCCCCCGACGACAGCACCGTTGTCCTTCACAGGTAACGTCTGTCAAATCCGTGTATTGCGATTTTTAGGCACCATAAACTCCACAAATGGAGAATTCGCGATGGATTTTTCCCCCGACGACAGCACCGTTGTTCTTCATAGGTAACGTCCCTCACATCCGTGTAAGTGTTTCTTAGACACCTTAAAACCAGCAATGGAAAGCGTTCATCTCCTGGCGACAGCTACGTTGTCTTTCATAGGTAGAATCCGTCGCATCCATGTCTTTCTGTGACTTGCTTCCACGTCGACCATCCGTCACTAAGATTCCGGCTCTGGAAGTGAGAGCAAAACAGCAGGAATTCGTCATCGAGAGCTCGCGTGCTGTCTTTTTTTTTTTTTATGCGTAGCTGTCTCTTTGTTTTGCCTGTCATGTCTAATCGCGTTCTTTCTCAACCAACTGTTACTCACACTTGTCACGCGTTCTGTCGTGCTCTGTGTGCAACAGGAGCAACGGTCAACTGGAGCAGATGGAGTTTGAATTCGACTCCGTTCTCCCTCCAACAGCCACTCAAGCGGACGTGTATCAAGTCGCCGCTAAGCCCGTCGTTGCGGTTCGTGAAACAGTCGAATGTTTTGAATATATTGTTTGCTTCCTCCATGGTTCATGCGCTCTCGTCCCTATTGTCGCTGTCCCCATTCCCTCCATTCCGGTCTCCCTTTGAACGGCGGCTCCACGGTCGCTTATGATTTGTATTCAAAACTGTTAACCCTTTACCTCGTCACAACCTCTTCCGTATTCTCGTTACAGGATGTGTTGAACGGTTACAACGGCACGGTCATGGCGTACGGCCAGACCGGCGCCGGGAAGACGTACACGCTCTCGAGCACCAAGCCTCCGCACCTTGGCATCATTCCGCGAGCTGCGGCTGAAGTGTTTGTCATGGCGCGAGCGGACCCAAGCCATACCTACAGGGTGTCGATGTCGTACATTCAGATCTACATGGAAATGGTATGGCCGTCGATCTTTATCGTCCTGTGATCTGTGAGTCTTCTCAGACGTTGTTCTTATGGCCCGCATGGATCCAAGCCACACGTAGAAGCTGTCGATGTCGTACACCCAAATCTACATGGTATGCGGGACCGTCAATTACCTTCTCCCTCTGCTCGACTCGCAAGAGCAAATGCCACGCGTCTTGTCCTTTCCACGTTCGTCTCCTCCTCCCTGTGCTCCTCCTCCCCCTACCCTCGCTTTTCCTTCCCCCCCTTCCCCCGTATCCCCTATCCCGGTCTCGCTACGTTCGGCTAGGCTCTTGCAGATTCAAGATCTGCTGCGGCCGTCGAGCTCCAACATGCAATGCGGGAGAGCGCGTGATGCACGCCTGTCGCCCTTTTCACGTTTGTCCCCTATTCCCCTCTCCCCCCCTCTCCCCGCTCCCAGATCCAAGATTTGCTGCGTCCGTCGAGTTCCAACATGCAAATACGGGAGAGCGAGAACGGCGTGTACATCTCGGGGGTGGAGGAGGTGGAGGTGACGTGCGTGGAAGACTGCCTCAAGCTGCTGGCCGTCGGCGAGAGGAACCGCACCGTCGCCTTCACAAAGATGGTGAGCGGGAGTATGCCGCGATAATGGACTCGTTATAGAGTTCCTAGAAAAAGCAAAACAGCCAGGTAGCTGGAAGCGAGGGGTGTACATCTCGGGGGTGGAGGAGATGGAGGTGACGTCCGTGAAGGATTGCCTCAAGCTGCTGGCTGTGGGCGAGAGAAACCGAACCGTCGCCTATACGAAGATGGTGGGTCACGAGACCCCACCCGGCTCGTTATAAAGTTTCTCGACTAGGACAGGACATTCGGTTCTCCTGTGCGGCTAGTGACCTCAAAATGAAACTCACTCATTGCTCGTTTGCGAGGGTCAGCAGTCGGGCCACTCGGCGAGGTTCGCCCGCTCGAGGTTTCGTGCTGTCTCTTTGCGTTACGTTGCCCTGCAAACGATCAAGGAAGATGCCCAGGTTCGTCATTTCGCCTAGCGCCTCATTTTTGTCACCTCAATGTCACTTTCCGCTTTGCTTCCCGTCTGTATCGACTCTCTCGCCTGTCCTCCGTGTTCCTTGCTTCACCCTTTTTCCCGGGTCAGAACGCGCACTCGTCGCGCAGCCACGCCATCGCGATCATCACGGTGGAGAAAAAGCGTCTGTCTACCGCGTTCCTTACCGTCATACCCTGTTACTGCCTCCTCTGCTTCCCCTTTCCCTGATCAGAACGCGCACTCGTCGCGCAGCCACGCCATCGCGATCATCACAGTGGAGAAGAAGCGCAGGAAGGAGGCGGAGAGCAGTGACTCCGAGGCGCACTCCGGGTCTGCAGCTGCTGCTGCGGGGCACGGGAGTGAGGAGCACCGCAAGCCAGAGAAGAAGGACAAGTGAGTGCCGGTTGTGTTATATGCTGGTTTTGAGGTGCTGCGTAAAAGTCATGGGGTTTGTAAGGAGGACCTGTAGCTGCTGCTGCTGCAGGAGATGGGAGTGAGGAGCACCGTAAGCCAGAGAAGAAGAACGAGTGCGAGCTGTATCGGTGTTGATGCGTGCCCCGTAGTGACTGCGCAGCATCCCTCCCCCCCCTCTCCCCCTCCTCCCCCCCTCCCCCCCTCCCCCCCTTCTCTTCTCCATTCCTTACACTTCCCCTCCCTCACTCCTTTCCTTACACTCCCCCCCTCTCCTCCTGCCCTATTTCTTGCGCTATTTCCGCGAACCCAGGATCCTGGTGGGGAAGCTCTTTCTGGTAGACCTTGCAGGCTCAGAGCGGCTCAAGAAGTCAGGTGCGT